TCAATATAATGGAATTCTATGCGACTGTTATACACATGAGATGTATAGCTAGCTATACAACCAGGTTTAATCCACCATTTTCTACATAAGGAAATGACAGTCAGTGATATAACAGATGTTTTCCATTCGTTTGATGAATTTTGAGCTTTTAATTTTGCCATTTGATAAGGGACTTTCCGTTTTGAATTTCCCTTGGAGTACGGTATTTTTGTTATTTTACTTTGTTCAGTAATTATCACACTTGAAGTAATGTAACAATGTTTTGTTAATCGAATGGTGATAGTAATAATATGGCGTAAATTTTCATTGCGACAATCGGAAAATTAATCTTGATCATCTTCTTTTAGGATATTTCACAGCTATTTTCAAATTTTATTGGACTGATGATTCTGAGACTATCTTAAACAGTTTCTCATTTCGCCCTGATTATATCAGTCAATCGACAATAATGATTATTGAAGTTTTTTGATTCGAGCATCACTAATGAGTCTTTTAAAGGCGTCCTGGTATCTATGACGAGTTTATATACGTGATAGCAGAGTTTTTAAACATCAACTGTATGATTATACGAGATTCCGAAAAATACCATGATAACTTTGGGCTTCTATATGCGCCTCTGCTTTGTGTTTTTGTGTTCTTGTACTTTTTAATTGCTTGCAGTTGGTATTTATGCGATTTCCCGACCAGAGAATATAACATAATATGTTAAATAGTCTTTGATTATGCCAAGCCTTGCTATACAATCTATCGTATTAATTGCGACCCGGATGTTCCTAGCTATTTGTTGAACCGATGTTATGTTGTGTCATCTGTTCTATTATTTGTCTGTTTGTCTTTTTATTTTTGGCCATGACGTTGTCAGTTTGTTTTCGATCTATGAGTTTGACTGTCCCTCTGGTATCTTTCGTCCCTCTTTTATAAGTTATTACTAGTATTTGTTATCTATGTCATGTTTATTCTTGTTTGTAATCGTAACTTTAACTGTTGATTTTTATATAAGACCCGTTATGTAGATGGAAAATTATCTCGACTATCCTATAAATATACATAAGACATAACGTATTAGTAGTAATACGAAAATGTGAGATCAGAAAATCTTTTTTTTTCGTTTTGTGTATCTAAACATGGTTATCTCCGAAAACATGTTCAATATCAAGAATATTTGTTTGATTAATAGATAAACACGAACACAGGCTACGAGTAAATATCACTCTTTAAAATAATAAAGATTAAATACATTATCAATTATAGGAATTGATACAAAAGCTGTTCTGTAGTTCTTATTTTTGCAGCAGTGCTACTGTACCAATATGTTTAAATATAAGTATCGAGTCAATAGACAACAAGCTATTCCGGTGTTCTTACTTTTACAGACCGTACTACTGTACCAATATGTTTAAATATAGGAATCAAGGCAATAGGCAACAAGCTATTCCAATGTTCTTACTTTTACAGACCGTACTACTGTACCAATATGTTTAAATACCAATATAAGAATTGACGTAAAAGGCTAGGCTTTTCCGATGTTTTTATTTTACCAGTGTAATTTGAATAAGAAACTTTAAATATAAGTTTTCATTATATATATGGAATTGTACTAAAACTAGGTTAGCATATCAGAAAAATTGTCCTTTGTCAAACTTTGAGGGTTCAGTTTCGACCATGTGATTTTGATGCATATATGTTTATGGAGAGTGTACATTCATACCTTTCAGTTCATGCGATATTCTATAATTTTGTTTCCTATCAGGATCTTTTTGATTGAAGGTTGGAATTAGGAAAAATGCTTTTAAATCAACAGTTTTTAGTGGTAAGGTTGAGTTCATTTCTTTAAGGTTTTGCAGGAATCATGCATAGGTTGATCATTATAGATTATCTGACTGTGTAACATGATCCTGTTGTCATAACCCGCACTTCGTTCTCGTTTATATGACAGTTGTTTTCCATTCGTTTCGTTGGTTGATACAGTTTGATTTTGTCAGGTTTAATGGACTTTTTTAAATTTACCTTGGAGTACGGAATTTTTCTTGGTGCTTTTTGTCGTTATTCATGATTTTTCTACCGCATACGCGATTTTACGACATGAGCAACGCCACTAGTGCCACTAGTTCTGTGGCCGCGATGTCCTTTGGACTTTGTATCTTAAGGCCATGATGTTTTTTGGACTTTGTTTCTTAAGGCCATGATGTCTTTCGGAAGTTGATTATTAAGGCCATGATGTCTTTCGGACTTGTTTCTTAATGCCATAATGTCTTCCGGACTTTGTTTCTTTATGCCATGATTACTTTCGGACTTTGATTCTTAAGGCCATGATGTCTTTCGGACTTTGATTCTTATGGCCATGATGTCATTCGGACTCTGTTTCTTAAGGCCATGATGTCTTTTGGACTTTGTTTCTTAAGACCATGATGTTGTCTGTTCTATTTATGGTATTGGATTGCCAATAGCTTGATATCTTCTTTTTCTTTCAGTAATAATAATAATAATAATAATGTTTATTCAGGTAATGGCAATATATACAAATACTTGCTAGAAACAACCTTAAAGTACAAAAGTAATGGTTGTGACTTTAGGTACATCTAATAAAAATAAAATTGAGAATGGAAATGGGGAATGTGTCAAAGAGACAACAACCCGACCATAGAACAGACAACAGCAGAAGGTCACTAACAGGTCTTCAATGCAGCGAGAAATTCCCGCACCCGGAGGCGTCCTTCAGCTGGCCCCTAAACAAATATATATACTAGTTCAGTGATAATGAACGCCATACTAAACTCCAAATTGTACACAAGAAACTAAAATTAAAAATAATACAAGACTAACAAAGGCTAGAGGCTCCTGACTTGGGACAGGCGCAAAAATGCGGCGGGGTTAAACATGTTTATGAGATCTCAACCCTCCCCCTATACCTCTAGCCAATGTAAAAAAGTAAACGCATAACAATACGCACATTAAAATTCAGTTCAAGAGAAGTCCGAGTCTGATGTCAGAAGATGTAACCAAAGAAAATAAACAAAATGACAATAATACATAAATAACAACAGACTACTAGCAGTTAACTGACATGCCAGCTCCAGACTTCAATTAAACTGATTGAAAGATTATGTCTTCATCATATGAATATCAGGCACAATCCTTCCCGTTAGGGGTTTAGTATCATACCATCATAACATATATGAGAAGAACATAACCCGTGTCATGCCAACAACTGGTTTTTAAATAAATGTGTTTAGTGCCGATGCAAAGATGCCTGAATCCACGGATGACCCATGAAAGCAAACAAACTTATTTCAAATGGGGTCCTGAAATTCTTGATAATAAAATAAATAATTTGTCATTCAATTTTATAGCAGTAAACAGTATCTATAAATAATAGCTTAACACATTCGTATAAAAAAAAGCAATCTAATGAGGTATAAAATCTGCATCTGTCATTGACCTGCGTTTACTAATTAGATGGTTTTTTAACTTCATACTTAAATTTAAATTTTTGAAATCTCATGAATACCTTTTACATGATCTGGCAAAGCATTCCAGTTTTTACATCACTAAAAAAGAAAGAAGAGGATTCTACACCTTTACATTTGGAACATAAAAATTGTAAACAGTTGATCTAGTATTTTTATTCGTGGAAGTTCTTGAAAAACCATTTTAAGACATTTGTCGTGAAAAAACATTAAATACATGATTCAGACGAAGTTGTGTCACTGTCGAACAAACATTCAATAATCCCAATTTTGCAAATTCATTTACAGTGATTCTTCTTGTGTCTGAGGAAGATATAGTATAAATCTTAGAACTTTATTTTTAATAACCTGAAGCTCATCTTTTAGTTTCTTGGATAATCTTCATTCCAACAATCACATGCATAACCAGGATGGCATTGTATTAATGAAGTAAACACTGTTTTTCTATATTGTTGAGACGATCATGATTTATATCTATATAAAAATTTAAGTCGCTGATTAGCCTTCTTAATATTACCAACAACTTGTAAACATGATAAAAATTTGTCCAATATGATACGATACCTAAATATTTCATATTTAATTAACTCTCAATTTTAATATTATCACATTCAATAGAAAAATTATTTTCATTATCATTTTGATATTTTCTCTTTGGTCCAAATAAATGCTCTATGTCTTTCCTAAATGTACAGACAATTTATTATCAATAAGCCAATCTTTACATGATTTTAACATAAGTGATAGCTTTCTAGAAATGATTTTTGGATCTTAATGTGAAAAAAGAATAGTCGTATCATCAGCACAGTTTCGATTAATTTCTATCTCGTCAGTCTAAATAATGCTTGTCGTACTTCTTTCTTTTTCTTAATACGCTGATCCCTATCATGTCTATCAAGAACATCCATGAAAGTCGACCAGTTCTCATTAAAGTGTCTTATGCGATTTAAAAAGAAACATACGGATTGCGCACAATAGTTGATATACACATATAAATTTGATACAAAAAAAGTTAACCGCTAGTATACACCTAAAACTTTAAGATTTGTAATAGGGCAAAACAAAATAATTTGCAGGTAAAAGAGGTTTTAGGTGGATAACAAAAAAGATAACCAAAAAAAGATAACACGATTATTACTTAGTGCGCCAGTTTCTTCATTTCTTCTTCACAATAATCACCAGTTTTTCTCGAAACAAAACAGCTTGAAGACGATTTTAATGAGACAAACCGTGTTTAGTATCCTCGAGTAATGACACATCTCCAATGAACAAACAAAATAACGACAAGGACATTTTCACGATTGATTTGTAAAACATATCCTGAAAATTGGAATTGCAATTCATAAGAGTATTTTGCTGCCGCTTCTAAATATACCACTACAGATAATTAGATTGTCTTTATCAAAGAATATTTCACTGTCAAACCGTTTCCGTTTTCGGTTTTCTCTGAGGACTGCGATGTACTTTAATACTGAATGGTAAAGTTCCATTCAAGACTTTAATGAATGGTTATTGGAAAAAAATTCAGAAACTCGGCTATGATATCAACTATATCTTTATTTTTAGCATTTCAACCACTTGATGTCGTCGAGACGGAAACATGGTGACCTAGTTTTACATGATCTGAAAAAAATAGATAAATCATGAACCAAAATTATTAAAATCATAAACATAAACCAAAATTATCAAAATCATAAACAATAATTATCAAATCATTTACAGCTCAAATAATATCCTCGGATATAAGTTTTAAGGGCCCTAGGGGCAGAAATACAATGAGTGACTCCAAAGGCTATTTGATGCAATGATTTGTAAGACAGAGATAACTAAAAAACACGGAACAACCTAGCTCATTATTATTCACAAAGACATATGACAATAAAGCAATTCAACTGAAAATTAAAGCAAGAGCAATAACAACTCCCATATTACTAGTACTTTTTTTTTATAGCTTTACAATTCTTCTAATTCCCATTTCTCGTCACCACGAACAAGCTATTTTAGGTGCCGGGATATTTTTATGAGTGGGTAGCAACCTTTTGGAAAATTACAAAAAGTCTAAACCTAAAAGGTAATATGATGCTTACAGTTCTGTAGCACTTTATTTTTTTTACTTTCGTTGATATTGACGTTAAATGGGAACATATGGGAGAAGAGAAGAAACCAAACTAATGCATTGTAATGGGTCAATGGAAATATTGGTTTGCAAAATCCTAAGCTTGTTTGAAATGAATCATCAAAATCACCAAGTAGGAACTAACTGCAGAAAATCAACAGAACATGTTTTGCAACTTTTATTTCAAATGTTCTTAAAAAATGATTTTAAGGTTGTTCGGTACTCTATTTCAAAATAACAAGCTTTTTAAAAGACTGTTATAAATTGAAAGTATATGAATAAAGGAACTAAAAAAGCAGAAATAAATGAAGGGTCTGTGTGCTTGTTTTCAAGATAAAAGCCATTGAAAATTTGGCGGGAAATGATTCTCTCTAGATTTTTCATACACTTAACATTGGCACTTTTTTTTCAAAAGCTATGAAAAAATAACAAGGATTTTATAAGATTTTCAAATATGGCTTTTTAAACAATATGTAATAAAAATATGAAAAGAAAAGTAGGGGTTTGAGGGCAAAAATTTCTAATGGCACTACATGGATAAAACCAGAGGATTCCGAATATCTGAAAAAAAGTCAAAAACAAGAGTAGCAAACATCCTTAAATAAACAAGTAAAGTGGAATACAGAAGAAATAATCCTTTAATACATTTGCAAAGTATCGACTTCGATTCTAATTTTAGAATTTTTTCATGGCATGGGAAAACATGTATCCCTGTCTATAGAAAGCAAGTGCAGTATATACACGAGCAAGGTGCAATATGCGGGAATTAACTGTTTTGAATTAGTGCATACCTTATTTATGTAAGAATTTTAATTAGAAAATATATGATTACGCAAAAGGAAAATTCAAGACTTCTTACATCTACCAAAACATATAAAAGCATGTCCATTTCATTAAGTGTGTATAGTTATGGATAGTTTGTCCTACCCAGGCGACATTTTTCAAAGTTTGGTAAATATAATCACATTATTTTACCAAATACAAATAAATCAAATAAAGGCCAAATATAACTCAAACCGTATTCGATTATTGTTAATAATGTTCCAACTTTTATGGCTTTTTATCTAAAACCAACTTAAGCTATCACCTGGTTTGTTTGACTGTTGAAATTTTAAAAAAAATCAAAAGAGCGATAACTCTATGGATATTCACAATTAACATCGAAATGGACGTGTACAGTTATAAGTTTAGCTCTACATGTACAGCGCAACAGTTACTTTAGATCAAACGGATAACAGACAAACAGAAAACAGACTTTCTCCTGTGAATTTTTAAAGAGCATGATAAAATGTCAAATAACAGCTAATCTGCATGAATATAAAACACTTCTAAGTTAATGCTTTAAGATATCAAAAGTGGAGGAATATCGGTCAAGTTAATTAGATCAATGCCTTTTTCAATTAGTTTGCATATAGCATTTAAATAAGGGCAACAGTAGTATACCGCTGTTCAAAAGCCATAAATCGATTGAGATAACAAATCCGGGTTACAAACTAAAACCGAGGGAAACACATCAACTATAAGAGGAAAACAACGAACTAACATAAAACAGAAGTGCAACAAAAAAAACAAACAACAATTCAACATTAATATAAACGAACTATTAAATAACTGCCATATTCCTGACTTAATATATATTACCCAAGTTCCACATGCAGAAGTTATGGGTTTAATTCAACAAAATTACTTTATGACTTCCATTAGAACGGATTGTTCCTCTTCCCACATACTGATTGGAATCAAATTAATGAATCATCTGAGACCCATAGATTCCACATATTCACTCACCAATTTAGCGCAATTATAGGAATCATATTTCTTTATCATTCATCAGATATCATAACAACCATTGTGATCTATTTGATACTACCAGATTATTGACATACTTTTACATGAACTTTGCGAAGAAAAATAAGTATAAAACCCAATGTATTGTATTTTTTTCAATACGTAAAAGGGATACACAGAGTCTTACTGATTTAACGTTCGCCTTTTAATATAATATTGAGAGTCTGGATGGGGGTTATTCAATTCTGTATTCTTAATTTTTTAGGTAATTTTTCTTTATAGCTATTCTTTATATATTTTACTCACTATATCTGTTCTTTATATTTTAGCACCTTGTTAATCTCTGTTCTTTATTTTTTGCATTTTTTTGTATTGGTACATTATTTTCTATTCTGGAAACCCCATTCAGACCCTCAATAATGAGATGTGATATGATTGCCAATAAGATCCACCAGAGACCAAATGATGTGGATGTACGTAACTAAAGGTCATCGTTTTAAGCGAAAAACATACGACTTCAAACTCAGTAGTTACTTTACCTGCTTAAAGCATTAACGTTTTAATGTTAATGAGCTTTCACATTATACAGTGCATGACTATTTCCCCTGATTTACACATATTATATTCATTGTTGTTTTTGTTATGTATTTGTTTCTTAATAGTATACTTTATAATAACATTAACGATACGATTTGCACTAGATGCGCATTTCGACAATAGCTGTCTCTTTAGCGATGCTCGAGGCCACCATATTTAAAAATTTAAAACATATTGGAAAAATGACGAATTTTTGAACAAATAAGGACAAAAGATATTAATGAAATCGTAATAATATCCATAATTGAAGGACATTAGAATAAATATCATTCATTTTCATTCAGAAGAACGAGAACCAAGCGTTCGATACATTTTTTAATTTAGGTATACACTGTTTTATTTTCTGTATGGAGCTTTAGCTCATTTCTTTATGTTATAAATTCAAAACATTAAAAAACCCTTTATAAATTTTATGCTTCCGAAGCGCGTTTCTGGATTTACCTCCATCAGAAACGCGTAAAGCCAAATATTTAAAAAAAATATTCGACGCCTTCAGATGGAAGATTTCCCAATAATGTCGATATTTTATGTCTTTTTTATCATATCTAGATGCCCTCAATTTGACGTCAAAAGTCTGACAATTCTGAGAATTGATACAATGTAACACACAAAAACTAGAATAAGAAAAGGTTTTAGAACAGTAAAGAAATGTCCATCATAGCAATTAGAGACGCAAACCCTTTCGGCGTGTATAACGAACGGACGACGAAGGGTGATGATCTATATCATATCTTTTGACAGGTTATCAAATTTGCTGTATATATTTTGACACTCTTTATTTCAAGTATTATATTTTGTACCCTTAAATATTCATATATCGATTCTAAATTATGTCTATCAAATTTTGACTTTTTCAAATGTGCATTCCTTTATGGTTAAAAATACTTCAGCGCTGCGAAATGGCTTGTGTACACAAATGAACGCTCCCTTATTATTTCATTCATAGAAAGGTGGACTAGGTAAACTCATCATAGATACAACGACCAATATGTCGTAGAACAACGACAACACGATAGCCAAGGAAAAACGTTGAGAACTAAACAACAGCCAACAAAACACAACACAACACTAAAACTGACTGAGCAACAAGACAACAACTACAACTAAGGGCTTAGCAAGGGTGTATGAATATATAATTGCTATTATTCTGGTATATTCTTAATCATTTCTTCACATTTACATCTATACATAATATTATCTTCAAGTTAAAAAAGTAAAATAACAAAAATACCGAACTACGTGGAAAATTATAAACGGAAAGTTCCTAAGCAAATTGCAAAATCAAAAGCTCAAACACATCAAACGAATGGATAACAACTGTCATATTCCTGACTTGGTACAGGCATTTTCTTATGTCGAAAATGGTGGATTAAACCTCGTTTTATAGCTAGCTAAACCTCTCACTTGTATGACAAGTTTAAAACGTTACATTCCACAATCTCTTCGAATATTAAACTTACCAATTTTTTCACAGCCCTTAATGTTACAGAATGCGCTACCACAACAACCGCCACACAACTGTGCAAATCCTTGACGCTTTCCATGTGGAACATGGGCTCCCAAGGCCAAAAATCGTCGACAAGTCTGAAAAATTAAAGTCATAGCAATACTTTACATTTCTAAGCCAACTATATCCCTCTAGCAACCAGCTGATATATAAATATAGGTAACAGCAGTTTACCGATTTTCAAATATCACAAATCGATAAGTTGAGAGGACAAATCAAGGTAACAAACAAAAATAAAATTAATAAATTAATAAATCATTTCCCCGTTTGTCAACCTACTTGTTGCACAATAACAATTATGTTTATATTACAGATTATTTTGAGCCAGATACACATTCATAATTGTTAATTATTACATTTCCGAGTTTTGTGCTTCATTTGTTGATTAAAATTTGTCTTTTGCATTCTACTCGAGCATTTTTATACTTCCCATCTTTTTAAAAGAGAGGCGATAGATATCAAAGGGACATTCAAACTCAAAGTCGAAAATAAACTGACAACGCCATGACTAAAAAAGAAAAAGACCAACAGACAAAAATAGTACACAAAACACAACATAGAAAACTAAAGACTGAGCAACACAAACCCCACAAAAAACTGGGGATGATCTCAAGTGCACCGGAAGAGTAAGCAGATCCTGCTCCACATGTGGCACCCGTCGTGTTGCTCATGTTAGTACAAACCCGGTAATAAGTCTAATTCGGCAGGTTACATTCGGGAAATGGGGATGGGATTGTAGTTACGACATTAGGAACATATCCGCTATCATCTGTGACACGGATATTCCGTATAGGCCAACCAACTCGTGAAGGCGTCCATACAATTTACGAAGGGATGATTTCAACTTTACCACTTGGAACTCTTGGTTTAATAGCTTCCTTGTGAGCAGCAACCCTCTATCAAGGAAATCATGATAGAAAATACAAGCCCTGGAGTATCGTATCAACTGGAAGATATATACTCCGTATGCAGGCGCTGCTGGAATGTTGCTACATAAAAATGGAAAGTTCACAATTGGGAAGCTGAAATCATCTCTTTTGTCATAAAGTTTTGTTTTCAACCGACCCTCATTGTCAATTTCTAGATGTAAGTCAAGATATGAGGCAGACTTAACTGTATCTGTAAAATGACTGATTTCCTCTAAAAAGAACAAAAGATTTAGAATATATTCTGACATCTCATATTAAGAATACGCCGTTTCAGAATCTAATGCATTCTGGATAATATTTCAAAAGCGTTCGCAAGAACGTTCTTATTGTCTAACAACGTTCTAAACAATGGAAATCTAACCAATTACGTGACGTTTTTTTTTTTTTTTTTTTTGGGGGGGTACGAACAATGAGATTACCCATAGTCCTTTAGATTCTTAAACTGCTAATTACTTTTATTCTGAGATTTTTAGGTATTTATTACAAAATTATAGAAATATCACAAGAGACTGCACATCATCCTTATCTTAACATTTTTTTTTAATTGACTTAAAACTATTTTCAGGAAATGAAAATCAATGAACACATGTGAAAAGAAAAAGTAAATGAACAAATGACTATGTTAGATCATGTTATACCTCTTTTGGTCGACACCCAAGTTGATGACGTATATCTCCTCTGTCGTTGTAGAAGATGTCGGCGAAACATTCCTGAATTGGAGAGAAAAGTGTTTGGTGTACTTTATTGTTTGACAGTTTACTGTACATTACTGTATGATAAATACAATCAAACAAAAGTAGGTGATAATAGATATTGACTGTCTCAAAACATACTTCAGATGTGTATACTGATTGATATTTTAGTCTTTGAAACATAGTTTGTTTATTTCAAGTAGTGGAAATAGGCTTTGATAATTATTTATGTGTCTGTTCCAAGTTAGGAGCCTGTAAGCATATTGATTGGTTGATTGGTGGTGTTTAACGCCACTTTCAGCAAAATTGACTTTATCGTGGCGGTCAGTTTTTATCAGTGGAGGAAGTTGGAGTTCCTTGAAAGTACCACCGGCCTCGACAGGAAAGATATCAACACTTTTAAACTGTATACCTAACAACAAAATTATTTTCATTTACCTGTGTATAATATTATTGTAAATGGCGGATTTTTGTTTAAGGTTATTGTTGTTTTTCTGAAATTGTTTAACATTTCAAAGCGGTGTAATACTGTTACTTTAGTTATTCATCCCTTATTTTATTGATTTTGTATTTACATTGTATCATAGATCAAATTTATTCGTTCAGTGTATATTCACTTGTGTTAATATGTCTTTTGATTGAGTTAAGCCATTTCAATTGATATTTTATAGTGTGTCTTTCTATGTTGTGATGTTACACTATTGTTTCAGATAAGGGTGAAGGTTTGGTATCATTAAAACATTTGAACCCGCTGCAATTGTTTGTACCTGTCCTAAGTCAGGAATCTGATGTTCATGCAGTAGTTGTCGTTTGTTGATGTGGTTCATAATTGTTTCTCGTTTCTCATTTTTTATATAGATTAGACCGTTGTTTTTTCCTGTTTGAATGGTTTTACACTAGTAATTTTTTGGGGCCCTTTATAGCTTGCTGTGCGGTGTGAGCCAAGGCTCCGTGTTGAAGACCGTACTTTGACCTATAATGGTTTACTTTTATGAATTTTGACTTGGATGGAGAGTTGTCTCATTGGCACTCATACCACATCTTCTTATATCTATATAGACAGAAAGAGAAACTATGAAGTATTATCCACCAGCGACGTTATTTGAAAATATAATATAGCTATGAAAGAAAAATATAAGTGCATGCATAGTAAGCATATACCTCAATCATGGAAGAACTTTATTCAGCCTACTCACAGTAATTATAAAAAAACTCAAATGAAAAGAAGATTGCGTCACAAGAAAAAATATATTTATGACAAATCTAGGGACGACCGAAGACAATGGACCGATAAATCTTAATTAATAAGAGCTAATACGATCGACTCCTACGTTATATTCCGGACATGCCACTAGGGTTTCACATGCTGCTAAATCTTCGATATCGTCACATTTATAACACTGCATATTTGGTGCTGGAGCTGAAATATTATATGCAAAAAAATGACAGAATACAGCTGTGTTAACAACATGTTATCAGTGACGGATGACATTCACTGAAAATGTTACCAACGTTTACTTTTCTTATAAAAGCAAAGATCAAAATAGAAAAAATGTCTGAACATTAATCATGGGTGAATGAAATATTCTTCTGTCGTAATTTCTTGCTTTTGGGATTTCAAAAGTGTATTTGTAATTGTACTGTTAAGAGTCTCATGTGTAAATTCTCACAGATTGAACATTTAGAAACTGTTAAATTAAATTAGTTAAATGAGCGCTCATCACTGAATTTATTGAAACAAAAGTAGTGTTTCGGTGAAAGACATATTAAGAGTTGTTCAATTAGATCGTGAATTTCATGAATATAAATCTTTTATGAATTTTTCAGTTTATTAAATATGAAATATAGCAATTATCTGCTCGCATGCAAAAATTATTTTGACATAACAAGCCTATTTCGTTCCCTATTGATAATTTTTCTTTTTTGAAAAATGATTTATTTTTGTTTTTAGCACATTTTGAACTACGGACTAGCTTTCATTAAATGCAAGTACTCTAATATGGGTACTTTGTGTACTTTGTGTATTTTGTTTTTTGTTAGGTACCGATCTAATAAGCCAAACCCTATCACACTGATTTTTACGGTTTGTTCATCTGTTGTGCTCAAATATCTACTATTGGGGAGGGTCTAGCGCTCACACACATGTTTAAACCTGCCATATTCTGTATTTGCGTCCTACGTCAGGATTCAGTAATTTAGGGGTTGTTGCTGGTTCATGCCTGTCATATTTGTTTTCCTAAATTGAATTGTTATAAATAGTGCCGTTAGTTTTCTCGTATGAATTGTTTAGGGAGCCTGTAGTACAGTGGTTGTTCTAAGTTGAGCACTGTCGGTCTTTCGTTCATCGTTGTAATATAAATCAAACCATTGGTTTTCTCATTTGAATTGTTTCACATTTTGTCATACCGGGGCCTTTTATAGGTTACTATACGGTAAGTTTTTGACAGTACCGTAACTTGTAATTGTTCACTTGATGTCATCTATATCATTTGGTGTATGGTCGGTTGTCTCATTTGTAATCATACCACATCTTCTTGTTTTGATATTTATTTTACGTCCATGACAAAATATAATGAATTTTACCCTTTATTCTTTTCAAACTCATTATGTCATGCTTTCAATATTGGCTACTGTAAGAAGTTTCTTTTAAGGTGACTTACTAGTTGTTTCTGTACATAGAGCATTATTACAGTAACCTTTGTCACAACACTTTGTACACATATGTATGACATTTCTCTTATCTTTTATTCCAAGTACCTCTTCTAGGTCACGCTTCCCGCCCAAAGTTGATAGTAACGTGCATATCTACAAAAGATTTAAGCTGGGTTTTTACACTATCAAGCTAATACATCGGTATATCCTTCCTTTCCTTCCTTCATTGTCAGACAGTTCAATGTACTGGACTATGATATCGGCTTACTGGTTTAAATTCCTGGCTATTTTCAGGTAGGAATAAGATTAACACTCCTGTGCTGACAAGGAATATCATTGATGCGTTATTTTTTGCAAATTTATTCATAAACTTTAAGTTTATTCTGCCTCTAGGTATAGATAGCATCATTCTTTTTTGTTGGTATTTTGGTTTTCAGTGCTCTTCAACTTTCTAGATTTTCACTTCCTACTTCCTGCTAAACAGTTAATGTCCCAGGGAAAAACTGAATTTTATTCATTTATTATATTAAACAAATAAGGAGTATAAATATATAATCTTTTTTTGGTTCCTAAAATCACAAAGTAAAAAAAAGGAACACTGCATTATTATGTTACGAAATTGATTTTATAGTGTTATCTGGAGACATCAGACCAAACATCTTTATGATTACATCATAAACATGTTTCATTTGCATTTATAAACCTCATGTTTACCTACAATGTCGGCTGTGCAGCCATTTGATATATAAATATTTGCAGTATTTTTACAATTTCAAGCTAGATTTCAATAGTGATTTGCATGAACCTTTCCTGTCAAATTTAAAGCCTAGAATTTACACGTGATCATCAATTCTATGTACATTTGATGTCAGAGTTAGAGCCTAAATTTTACATGTAAAAAGTAAAATAACAAAAACATCGAACTGCAAGGAAAATTCAAAACGGAAAGTCCCTTATCAAATGGCAAAATTAAAAGCTCAAACACATCAAACAAATGGCAAAAAACTGTCATATTCCTGACTTGGTACAGGCATTTCCTTATGAAGAAAATGATGGATTAAACTTGGTTTTATAGCTAGCTGAACCTGTCACGTGTATGACATTCGCATAAAATTCCATTAGATTGACAACAATGTGTGAACAAAACAAACAGACATAATAGGTAAAAATGTCAAAAATAGAGGTACAGCAGTCAACATTGTGTTATATTCTTAATCACTATAAAACAAAAAAATATGTCATCAAAGAAAAACAAAATGGCATATAGACAAAGCACATAGAAAATAGTGAAATTCATATACTTACTCTACTATTATGACATCCTGTATTATGTTTTCTTCGACAATTTATGTACTAACCCTGTCGAATTTACAGCTTAGGTGTTACCTATGTACCTACCTTGTCATACGTTCAGCCTAAAGGACTGGTGTAATACCACCAAATCATAATACGTCACATCCGGTTTCATACGAAAAAGGGTTCGAAAAGAACCATTTCCTTGAATTTGAAAGTTGTAGGAAATTAATCCTACGTTTCATTGCAGTAAACAAGTTCTGAGTCATAAACATAAATCTTGGGTATTTCAAAGTATCATTCTTTTTTAATTTGGTGTTTCTATCAAGTATTTTGGAAACTTGAGGTTACATGGTTACTAAAACTTGTAAACAGGTAGAAAAGGGGTGAAAATTTGATTGGTTAACTTCCAGTGATGGTTATTATCTTTTATGCAATGAAATGATATGTGAAATTTTGTCTGAAGTAAAAAACCTCTTTACTCATGCCAAGTATTTCTTTATTTGAAAAAAAGATTAATTTTGCACAATTTTTTGAAAACTGTTAATTTAGCAGACTAATAGGGGAAAGACAATGGTGGCATTACTCCTATTTAGGGAAGCTGCACATGCACCTTCGACCTTGTATGTAATCTCATTTGCTAAAATTTCATGCTATTTCAGTAAAATATTGCAAATATGAAATATTGTGAGTGGATTGAGTCTCAAAAACACATTTTAAGAGAAAATAGCCTTGAAATAGGGCTATACCAGGAATATTAGTATACAGAGCAAGCCATACTCAGTGTTTTGGATAGTTTATTTGGCTTGAACACTAATTATCACATTTCTTGCATAAATGTGTGATAGTTACCCCATAATTTTGATTTAATGGCATAAAAATTTGAAATTTTGAGGAAATGAGAGGTATAAATGGACCAAAAGGGACCGTACAATGAAGACAAAGAGGTTCATTAGTGGTATTTTTCATCTCAGAGTCATCTTTTGTATCATATTCAACTGTTTGTATGCAGATGAGATGAATATTTGATCATTTATTGGTCCACACTATATTCTATCATGATGTTTTGTGATTTAGATTTTTCGAAGAAATTTTGCTCAAATCGTTGTAGATGTCGTCTTACATTATACTAGAAATATCTCAAACTATTAAACGGATTATGAAAAAACTTGACTGTAACGCTTGAAATAACCATTATTACAAAGGAAAAAAATCACATTCAGTTTATTCAACAAAAAAGTCTTCTTTTGGTGTAATACCAACAAATGAGTGTACGTCCCATCCGGTTTCTACGAAAAAGGGTCCAACAAAAATATTCCCTTGAATTTGACAGTTATAGGAAAATATTCCAACATTTCATTGCAGTAAAAAAATTCTGAGTCAAAAACATACATCTTGGTTCTTTCAAAGCATCGTTCTTTTTTTATTTGGTGTTTCTATCAAGTAATTTGGAAACTTGAGGTTACATGGTTACTAAAACTTGTAAACAGGAAGAAAAGGGGTGAAAATTTGATTGATTAACCATCAGTGATGATTATTATCTTTTATGCAATGAAATGTTATTTGAAATTTTGTCTGTAGTACTGGACATTTAATCATGCCAAGTATTTCTTTATTTGAAACAAAGATAAATTCTGCACATTTTTGGAAAAGTGCCAATTTAACAATGACTAATAGGGGAAAGACAATGGTGGTATTACTCTTAGATTTTACATGCGATCATTTATGAACCTACCTTGTCAGACGTACATCCTAGATTTTACATGCGATCATTTATGTACCTACCCTGTTAGTTTGACATTCTATATTTTATATGTGATCATTAATATACATTCAATGTAAGATTTACACCATGTATGTAACATTTGATCGTTATGAACCTACTCTCTTAGATTCACAGCCTGTATATTACATTTGATTGTTAAGAACTTACCCTGTCAGATATACAGCCTGTATATTACATTTGATCGTTATGAACCTACCCTGCCAGATTTACACCCTGTATGAAATCTGATGTTATGAACCTATCCTGTCAGATTTACCGTTAAGATTTTACATGTGATCCTTCATGTACATACCCTGTCGGATTTACATCCTAGATTATACAACATATGGCCATTGGCGTTAAGGTACTTGTCTGTAAAACAATGCTGTAAAAGAAAATATTTGGCATGGTACTCTCACTCATTTGTATGGAACCGCCTATCTTAATGTTCAACTTGTGTATATTGAATGGAAAAAAATAGCAGACAACTCAATGTTAGTAAAGCTTAATAAAGAGAGCCATGACAAATCCAACGTCGACGAAGAAAAAACACCAATTGCAAAAATCTACCAATTAAGTACATTTAAAAACGTAGATTGAGCAACAGGAACCACATCAAAACCTGGAAATGAACTCTGGATGAGTAAGCAGTTTCTGCTTCACAAGTTGCATCCACCGTTATGCTAATGAGGTTGTAAACGAGGAAAAGAGGACGGAAATGTGCCTGGATTCAACAAATGGATTACATATCTTATCATTTTGTTACAATTGTACCGTAAAGATCTCAAACACATCCTGATGGCGTCCTTAAATCTTTCGAAGAGATGACTTTAGTTTCAGCTCACTAGTATAAGCTTTGCCATAACTTAACGCCCGTCGTCTGTCGCGTCGCGTCGTCTGTCGTCATCCGTTAACTTTTTACAAAAATCTTTTCCTTTGAAAATGCTGGGCCAAATTTAACCAAACATGGCCTCAATCATCATAGGGTATCCTGTTTAAAAGATGTGTCCGATGACCCATCCTGCCAGCAACATGGTCATTATCTTGAACAACCTCTATAGATATACAAAATCGGTAATGAGGCAAACATGTTTAGAATGATAAGATCTACCTTCTGTTTGTTGACATAAAATGAGACGACTTTTTATAGAAGTTGTTGCCCTTAACCAACAAATTTTACCAATTTTCTTTCCTTTTTGCCTATTATCTTGAAAATAATGATAGATATAGACACAAACTTTAAAAAGCAAAAATGATCAACCAGATAAGATCTACATGTGAGTCAAATATTGCTGAAATCTTCAGTTGACTCTTTAAAGGAGTTATTGCCCTTATAAGATAGGTGAAAGATAACAGAGGGACCATCAAATTCATGAATCGAAAATAAACTGACAACGCCATGGTATAATACGAAAAAGACCAAAAGAAGAAAAAAATATTAGTTCTTGTTGAATTCAATTATTTGTTATTTATGTTTAGACTGACGGTGATTTAGAGATTGAATGTTTCAGTTGGGTGAAAATAGATTCTAGATGTATTTCTTGTTTTATGATTGATGAGTTGTTGTCTTATTGGTGTTTATCTCATTTACCCTTTTATTTGATCTGTGAGATGTTTTTATTCACTTTTATGATGTTGATGTGTAAACGTAAACGCTGTCTTTGTGGCAATATATTGTAGAAACAAAATTCATTTTGAAGTTGTCGACCCAGGGTGTCATCTATTTTTGATAGGTGCAAATCAAATCAGGTAAAGGTTAAGAGGTTATGTTTAAGATAATACCTCGTTTGCTGGACAGTTAATGGCGCGTTCACAATCAACAGGTGAAGCCACGCCATTGCAGGAGTAACACATAAAGGCTGAAAGTATATCATATGAATATATATATTTACATAGAAGTGTTATCATATATCAGTAAAACGTTTTAGCAATTAAACCAGAAAAAGACAAGATAGTACAGCGATTTATATTGACATACTAAAGCAGTGATAAGGTATCATTTTTTTATGACAGAAAAATAGATGCAATTAAGATTTCATTCCAAATCCATAACTATAAAACATAGTGTTACTGCACCTTGAAAATTTGAGATAATGGCACTATTCCTGTTTTATCAGAACTAATTGCTCTTTTAAGAAAAAGTGAAAAGATTAAATAATCAGATATAGTCATCTCATATCTGTGTGGCTTACGCCACTCAGATATGAGAAGACTATAGATAGATATGTCTAGTATATCATACATGCACAAGAAATAATCGCTGAGATATACTACATTATTGCTGCATGTTCCTCGTTTAAAATATCGATAAGAAGTTAAATATAGAATGAAGTGACATGTACGTTATATTGACAATGACTTAACTTCTGCAGATTGAGTTATCAAAACTAAGTCATCTGTATATAATATATCGAAAATTCCACTGGATCTCACTCAAAGTTGAAATACTCCACTAAATTATTTATACATAAGACAAAGAGGGGAAGTAGATTAAGATACATCACTGTTTAACTCCCAATGATGACTGAACGAATTTAATAAGCCCTCTGGTAGTTTTATAGAAAATGACACAGTTGAAAAAGAAGACTTTCGATACCGTAAACAGTCATGCTCTTTTATATACTCTACTAGTATGTCACTATGATAGAAGTGGAAAATTCTTACAAATATTAAAAAAAACACGAGCAAGGATGTCTCATTTTCTATAAAACTACCAGAGGGCTTATTAAATTCGTTTTTTTTTTTTTTTTTTTTTGCCATGGCGTTGTCAGTTTGTTTTCGATCTATGAGTTTGACTGTCCCTCTGTTATCTTTCGTCCCTGTTCTATGAAAGGAGGATATTACTATTTCAGAGTCCTAAAATCATTTTCAGATGTACGAGTACAAATGTGTGATATCACTTCTTTCTCGAATTAACACCTTTGTTGTTACACCGAAATATAATATAGAAAGAAAAGATACTCACCATTACATCGTGCTGAAATAGATAAAAGCATATATAATACTGAAAAGGTCAAGCAAGAAAACAATATTTATTATGTCGTAAAAAATAATAGGTCTGAACTGCATTGTATATATATCTATACTACTAAAGCCTGAAGAGACCGATTTCATTGAGCCGCAACTTCTCTGAAACCATACTAAGTCGGAAATATTTGTGATATGAAATTTAAATGTAGTGTTTTGTAATTCCTAAATTTGTCTTTGAAACAATCTTTTTTCCAAATAAAACGCCAATTTTTGAAAAAAAATATCGAATTTTCGGAGACTGTTATCGATCCGTGTCTTATACTTTTTCGCGCATGCTCAGTCGACGTACTGCCCGCGAAATTTGAAAACTTTTGTTTCAAAACTTGGCCAATTGTACCGCGATTTCGCGGGCATCTTCTAGTATATGCAATTGTTTCAGACAATTCTTTTCGTGGATTGCAGATGAACTCTGTATTCTTGGATTTCGTGGTTTCACAATTCTGCTTACTAGCATAGAGATAAGTAGTATAACAAAAATACCGAATTTCAAGGAAGAAGTCCAAACGGAAAGTCCCTTATCTAATGGCAAAATCAAAAGCTCAAACACATCAATCGAATGGAAAACAATTGTCATGTTCCTGAATTTGTACATTTCCTCAATCTGTGGAAAACCACAGTATAGAATAAAGGTGGATAAAAAGTAAAATAACAAAAATACCAAACTCCAAAGAAAATTCAAATCGGAAAGTCCTTTATCAAATGGCAAAATTAAAAGCTTAAACACATCAAACGAATGGAAAACAACTGTCATATTCCTGACTTGGTACAGGCATTTCTTTATGTAGAAAATGCAGGTATTGCGTTTAGTAATTAAGTTAAGTTGTTATAGTTAAATGTGGAATTGTTTCAACTTTCCCAAGTTAAGTATAAAAAAATAAATGAATCGTTAATACAGTATTTAAAGTTCATAATCTAAACTTGCTTTTCCAAAACACGTTCAGCAAGAAGCAACCAGTCAATCAATATATTTCATTTATCATGCTTAATTTGCATGTATGTGGCCTGATCTTTAACAAAATCTAAATGCATATATGTTTTCCTTTTCATAGTAAGTTTTCTGATTCTGGAGTAAAAATGTATTAAACTCAAATTGATCTGTCCTGTATGGTTAATATTTATAGAGCTTACAGAGCCCTTATTATTTAAGAATATTAATTCCAGTATCTAAACGTAATTCTCAAATGATAGCATATATGTAACACTCAGAAACGTGTCCATCCCCCCAAACGTGTCCGATTCCCCCAAACGTGTCCATATGACATCACTGAACTGCAAAACATGTCTAGGTGCTAAAGGGCGCCAACACGTGTCATTGTTAAGAACGCACAAACGTGTCCATTTTTTAAAGAACGCCCAAACATGTCCATTCCCCCAAACGTGTCCATATAAAGCATACACGCTCAATTTAATTAAGTTAATTTTTGGCCTTCAAGTAACAATAAAATATCCACCAATATTAATATATAATTTTGTTATTGTTCTTCTATTGACGTATTCTCCTTTCAATTTACTCTTTCATCTATTGTCCTACCTCCAAGCGTGACGGGAGAACAGAAATATGGTTAATAAGGTCTTCTTCCAACCGACAGTTAAATCCTTGCGAAAGTTGGGCGTCCGCTTGGCTATGTGGGATGTATAAGTACGTAGCCACGTCCAGTCAGAATGGGGATGTTAAACCTGAAACCTCGTGTAGGAATAGATAGACCTACCTAATGTATTTATTGTTAATATGTTCTAGTCTTGAATATGCATGAAATATTTGCCACTGGACGTTTAGCAACCATCAATAAATCAATGTATTGTCTTAGATATGCTTGAAATAATTGCCACAAGCAACAATCAGTTGATCTTTTACTTTTTCCTAGTCGATTATTACTTCTTTCACAATTGATTTAGCGTAATGTGACAGTTAAAAGGATGATGCACATTCAAAATTACTTACATTTAATATTGGAATTTACGAATACAGTTTTTAACGTATTTTAACGATACCTTTAGGTAATAACGGTTATGAATTATAAGGTTGGTATCAGGGATGCTCATGATACATGCAAATTTATTCCTCTTTTTTATGTCTCTTTAGTGATGCTCGAACCCAAAAATACCAGTATATACTTTGAAGAGCTGTTAAAAAAAAATCAGTGCAATATTCTCAAACATCATTAATATGCATGTAATTAGACATCACCGGAGAATATTGGTACAAAAGAATTCACCTAGTAAACGATGAATTTAACTGTACAAAACTAATTAATTGCAATTTGTTTATGTTCGCTCTAAATATGCATGAAATATTTGTCATTGGACATTAAGCAATCAACAGTAAAGAGTTAATTGATATGTTGCAAATCAAACTTGCAATTATGCTAAATATGAACAACCGGCGTTGAACAAATTAGTGCTAATAAATTTCGGATGTTCTTCTTTCAACTCTGTTCCTTTTTTAATTTCCGGTAATTGTGCCCAAAAAAACTTCAGCATTTATGTCCTTTGAATGCGGCTTTAATCTTTTTTTAGGATTCCAACATCTACAATCGTAAAATTGAATTGCCGTAAACGTTACTGACGACACTGAGGACATAATATAGCGCTAAAAGTTTTGAGACGTTCAGGCGTCTTAAAGTAGACACGTTTTGGCGAATAACCCCGCTTTGGGGATGTGAAATCAGACACGTTTGGGCGATTTATGATTTTACGGACACGTTTGGGCGAAATAGACACGTTTGGGCGAAATAGACACGTTTGGGAGAATCGGACACGTTTGGGGGGATGGACACGTTTGGGAGTGTTACATATACAATATGCAAATTATAGTTAATCAAAGTTTATTACTTCAATAGTCGTTGTATAGATAAAATATGTCAACTTTATACAAAAAGTCGATATGAACCATTGCTCCGAAAGTATCTTCAATGATTTTTTATAATTGTTCACGACAATTTATCATTTATTAGGAATATTATTCTTCGTTCATCAACTATGATGTCACTACAAATAATTAAGTTTGCACCAAAATTTTATTTCTATTAATCCCTGTCACTCCAACGACTTTTTATTTATATTTTCAATTATTAAAGTCGTTTATTTAAATTGAACCAAAGAGTTAGTTGCAGAATTGCCTGGGGATTGATTGATTGATTGATTGATTGTTGAACGTTCATTGGAAAATATTTTTGCAGGAGAATACATTTATGTCTCATTACATGACAGTAAAACATTTGAAAGAATCAGTTGTAAACCTCAAAACTATATTTTCGCTGTCACTGATATAGGGAATTATTTTTTCCTGTGCAAGATCGAAATTCGGAACGAATATTCATATATACCTTATAAACATATCCCGGTTATCAAAATTTGTCGCTGTTCGATTTAAAATAATATATTATCGTGTCAAACGATCAGGTAATTATAAAACAGCATATAACAACAAAATAAACGCTGACACTACAGTCTATCAGCTTTAGCTGGAATATTGCATAAACATGATATCAAATAATCTTATTTATCTATAATTTGAAGCTTAAATATAAAGTTTTATTCAGGTCAGTTTATAGCATTTCTATCACATATAATACACGAAAAAGGAGGGACAAATCATGTCTGTAATTTTTTTGGGGGTTATTTGGCTTTATTTTACTTTAAAGCAAATATATACTTTCGGATTTTTAAAATTTGCTATAGAACACCATTGATGAAAAATAAATTTTCCGAAATTCGTATAAAATGTATTTCCATATCTTGTAATTTTGTGTTTATTCATACCTCAATACAATTTCGTGGATCATGCATTATGTGGATGAACATAAAATATTGGAATTATACAA